CTTTTCTCGGGAAATTGAGTTAACTGAAAACCAATGTCAGAGTGTGTGTGGGTAGAACTTGATACTCTCGTTGATTACTCGGGAGTCGAAGGCCACGCATTACATGGCAACTGTGATGGATCCACCCAGCAGTCGAAAAGAAAGATGGTGTTGGTGAGAATCTCCAAATGAAAAGGAGACCTCTTTGACAGGCGCGGCTTGGCCTGGTGCAGGGCTTGGGTGGCCTTGGCCTGCAAAGGACTGGATCGAGAGGCTGCTGGAGCCATTTCATTCATCCGTTTAACCCGCGCAGCATTCTTAGCCTTAGCACGCTTGCAACCCCCTTGTTGAACAGAAGTTTGAAGCTTGCAAAGTCTAAGGTTTAAACATGTTTACACGATTTTAAACGCATGGCCGCCAAAAGAAAAAACAGGCGAAACAGGATTCATGATGTTTCTGGAAAATCTGGAAATGCACGCAAATCCCTTCATTTGTGCGCAATCCGGTTCTTGTGGGGTGTTCGTGCTCCAGGAGCGGTCCGATCATCGAAAAGACTCGCTCCAGCTTCATGGGCGGTGATAGCTGCGCCTCCTTGGAGGCTTTGATGCAGTTCCCTCTGGGGCCACTGCAGCTGATGACCTTTGGAGCTGCCGGGCTCTTGGTGAACCGCTCGTCGCCTGGCGCCCGGAGTGTGAGGGAGAGAATGGTGGCCGGGGTGCGTGGAACTAGGAGCAAGGACCCTACTAGGGGCTCCTGGCCTGACTACTAGGAGCAACAAGCTACTAGTGTAGCAAGGGCATCGCTACTAGGAGCAAGGACGCTACTAGGAGCAAAGGGCATTGCATGCAAAGGTTTGTTCATTTCAATGTGTCCACTCCAACCCCGGGCTAGCGAGGGACTGAAGAATTGCATCAATCGCCTTCAAATGCCGCAAACTAATAGCCTCGAAAGCTTCCACTTTGGGCTGCGATGTTTGGATCTTTGCAGTCTCTCAGTTTTATCCACTAAGACTGAGTCTTTTGAGTCATTTAGATCACAAGACCCATGTTTTGACATTTAATCTTTAGTTTGCTTCAGAGTTCAGAGGCAAGTGGCAAGCCTCCCCGACCTCACTGGAAGCCTGCGAGCCAGCTTCGGGGCCGGCATCGGATATCCCTTGCCGGGAGGCCGGCGGGTTTCAGGGTGTTTTGTGTCGTGGTTTTGTGATTGGCGATGGACATTTGACTGAAAGCTCACAAGAACTTTTGGGGTTGTTCACTGAAGATCCCACGTTGTCATGATGTCCGGAACAAAAAGAGTTTTGACCACCAGCTGGCACAGGGGTAGATCCCTGGAGGAGGAAGCATCCCATGTGCTTGGACGGTATAAGACTTGCTGGTGGAACAAGTTCATGCTGATTCAGTATGAACCTTGACTGCTTCGGACTCCCCTCAAGCTTTCACTGCTTTGGGTCAGCGGTCAGCCTTTGTCATGACCCCATGACCTCCCTTTCGCGGAAGCACACTCCGCACGCTCCGCCCTTCGCACGTTCAGATGTTTGAGGTGGTCACATCGCAGCGACCTTTACTTTGCCCGTGCAAGCCGTGGAGGGCGATCACCTTCGGCCTTTTCAAGTATCGTTCAATTTCGGGAATCCGCTGTGAAGAGCGCAGGGCGCGAAAAGAGAGTCCTTTCACACTGACTCAGGGGGATACTGTAGTTGGGCGAATGCGAGGTGCTTTCATTTTGATCATTTTTGATGTTTTTGGATGGTTTAGGAGATGTGCAAACATTGTCGCGTTGTTAAAAAGCCAAGGCCAAACCGGATTTGGATCTTTCAGGATCTTTCCTCTCTGATCCTACCGGATATCAGGACATATTTAACATGAGCCTCAGGCACGCAATCTTGTAGCCCGCGTTAAGAATTGTGTTCTTCGTTTTACTTCCTTTCAATATACACAAGTCCACAGTAGAAGATCATCTGTAAGAAATTTTCTCTTGAAGTCTCCAGGCCCCCGCTCAGATCGTCGCCGCTACTGTGGGGGACAGGAGCTGCCACGCACAGCAGAGCCCGAGCAAGAAGAGCAAGTGGGCATTTCTCAGATGCAGGCTGGAATAGAAAGAGGGAATTGCTCGTCGAGATGTTTTCTTTTTGTGTTCACTCTTGGAAGTCCCTTTCTAGAGCATCTACGAACGTGTTTGGCTTCCATGCCCCCAGCATTCAACTGGGACTCTTGGGCCAGGTTTATCAGTTGAGGCCTCATGGCTGGTGGTGGGCCCCGCTGCGTTCGACGGATCCGATTTCGCTGGTGCAGGAGCTCCAAGCGAGAATAGAAGACCTGGAGGAAGCTGTCCAGCAGGTGGGATTAGATGAGGCTGTCCTGCCAATCATTAAATTGGGCAACCACGTTTTCATGCAGCATGAGGTGAAGAAGGTGTACTTTCGTTCACGTAAGCCTTCGTTCGTTTCGGTTGATTTTCAATGACAAGTATGTGTCAAATCGCGGGCACGAAGGAACATCGATGTTCGGGGGAACGAACGAACGGCAGATTCGGATGGACATCGAACGGCTTGGTAGGCATGGGTAGGCGCCATTAGTCGCACACAATTGAAGCCATACGACATGGGTGAAGTGCATTGTTACTTGTTTCTCTATATGATATTGGATCACGGGACAAAGGAACATATGTCATATGTCAGCATGTTTACTGATGCCTGGACAGCGTTTGGGGTCAAACAGCCACATGGTATCGCCACAGGACGTATCCACACTCCTTTTGCTTTCGTCGAAGCCTGCAGGAGAGGGTGCTGGCAGACGAAAGCTCAAAGAGCCTTCAGGACTTTCTGGTTGAGCTGTGTGTTTCCATTCTGATTCAGCGGTGGCGGCCAGTGAGCAGTAAGAACGGAATAGTGTAACTGTTGTTGGATTTTGGATGAGTTTGGTGTGTGTGTATGTTTGTTGGGGAACAAACATCCTTATCATTCTCCTTCTAATTATATAAATCACTTTTTCTGTGCCTTCAGGAGATGACAGCTGCCACAAGAAGACTTTGCACCAAGCACCAGATTCCCTGGAGCACGGAGGCCGCCGGATGAAGTAACATGCACTCCCTGAAAGAATCAGGGCCCAAGGGTTGCATGGATGGCACCACTTGTTTGGTATTCGGAAAAGGGTGGTCCATCTACGGAACCATGATGATTCCAGGGAGAGAAAGAAGCAAGAGGATTTGCTTGGTCCAATCTCTTGCGTTTTTTTTTGGAAGCAAGCACGCTTTTTGGAGTGAGGGGGGACCGGTGATCACGGTGATCCCACGGTCTTGCAACAACAAGGCCCCAAGCCTATCCGCCTATCCTGAGTTCATCTCGTTCAGCACCTGAGATTTTCTCAAAGTCTTTGGATTCGGGGATGTTCTGAGTCTATAGTCAACCGTCAACCCTTGGCAGGCGCATGTTTGTTTAAATCTTAATTCCCACCTCTGAGGGAACCCGTCTTTGGTCCATCCCTTTCGATCCATCATAGACCCAAACGTGCCCGGCACGTTTGGCGGTGCGTTTCATCGGCTGTTCGTTCGGCCAGGAGCTCAGCCTGGCGATGCTTGAGAAACTTGCTCCTCGGCGTCATCCAAGAGATCCGTGATGCTGATGTGATATGGTGTGAGCTTGGCCTTTTGCTTTATGCCAGTTTAGTAAGGCTAGAGATATATGGTTGTCGATCTAAAGGTCCTAGACAGGATTGTTGATGACGATGACCCGGAACATATCCAAATATCATTAGGCGACAATTTTTCTCGAGTTGGCGAAAGTCTTTGTTTTTGGGCGAAAGATATGGCTAAAGATGTTCTTTCTGCTGCTGTTGCTACTGCTACTACTACTACTACTACTACTACTATTTCTACTACTACTTCGACTACGACTACGACTACTACTACTACTACGACGACTACTACTACGACGACGACTACTACTACTACTACTACTCCTACACTCCTGCTGCTGCTGCTACTACTACTCCTGCTGCTGCAGCTACTACTACTACTACTACTACTCCTCAGGCGGCACGATTACCAGGGAAGGGCATGGACCAGGGAAGAGCATGGAATCCAGGAAAGTTTGACCCCAAACGCAAGCGTGTAACATTAGTACAGGTAGCAGAGCTATATTTTTCCAATAATAGTAATAACGAAAGCAAACAAGTATCTTGCATCAAATGGCAATGAAATGTGCCCAAATTGCGCAAATCAAGCTCGATTGATAGCCGGGCTTTGTCGAAATATGATCCTGCCAAGAATGAAGTTGTTTTAGCGAGCAAAACAAAAACTGTACAGAGACAGGGGGATATGCAAAGGATACTGAAGGCCATGCACACATTTGTATGGCTTTCCCGTCCTACCATGCACCAGGAATATGATGCACTGTGAGGTAATTACTGAGGAAAGCAAAATCAAAGTGGGAAACGCAATATTACCATTATGTGTGCTGTTGCTGCTGCTACTACTACTCCTGCTGCTGCAGCTACTACTACTACTACTACTACTACTACTACTACTACTACTTCTACCACCACTACCACTACCACTAGCACTACCACTACCACTACTAGTAGTAGTACTACTACCACCACCACCACTACTACTAGAGACCATGTTTTGTGCGTCGTGTGTCAGTGTTTATTCACGGACCATTGCTTCAAATCATCAGTTGGGGTATCATGTTTTATATCAACACCTGCCTATTTCGCTCGGTTTCGTCTCAGGAGGAGGCTTTCAGCAGGCTGCAGCTTGCTGACGATGCTCGTGAGCACGAGCAGAAGGACGGAGCACCGAGTATAGCGGCTTGTGGTCCTTGACCTGTGGGAAGTTCATGGAACTTCTATCTTCTTTCACCAGCCCCAGGAAGTACTCCAAAATACACCGTACTTGTTTGGTTACGCTTGGAAACTTGTTCCTACTTGGCCAGATTCTGATGACCAGATACTCTACACGAAGTGAATCTGGCAGAAGAGGGAACTCTGTTGACACTGCGCAGGGCAAACGACGCCGTGTTTCCACACCTCGCAGGCCATGCAACAGAAGACATCACAGCTACAGGAAGAGGTGCCTTCGCTTCGTCCCTGCTGCCCTTGCTAAGAGACAGGTCCTATTCGGTTTAGCCTTCGCGAGTCTTTCAGAGCCTTTGGATTTTAGCTGTGGATCGATGTCTTTGTCGTGCAGAGGTCCCAAGGTTCTGAGAGAAAAACACCAAACGCAAAACCACGGTCAGCACCAACAGGGCTGAAAAAATGGACTTGACACTTCGAGAATCCGCCAAGTGCGCATGGAGAGGTGGAGTTTCTTCGAAGTGCCAAGTTCGAGGCGGATGACAGGCGAAGCTCAGCATTTGGACACGAAGATCGTTGCAACCGTTAGATGAAGAAAGGATCGTGTGAGTCATGCACGAGTTCCTTGAAAATCAGAGAAAGTGATCGAAGCACTTCAGAGATATGTCTGCTGTAGACTGTAGACCGTGCAGCAAAAATGGCCACAAGTCCAGTGAGAGTTTGAAGCCGGGTGAGTTCATGAGATGCTTGGATCAAAGGTGGATCGTTGAGTTCCCGCTCAATTCAAATGACTCTTTGCCCCAATTAGCAGCTTCACCAGGCTGAGTAAGGGGAAAAGTCTGGAAGAGTCTGCTGAACGAAGGGAGGAGTAGGGAAAAGCCCTATTTGTTGTGCAAATGCCCTGCATCTTCACCCACTTCGATCTGGATTCCGCGGCGGAGTCCAAAGGAGTTCTGGGGTCTCCCCACAGGTGTCAGCAGCTGGAAGTGGAGCTCAAGCAGGAGCCTTCTGGGCGTTTGGGGCGAGTGCTCGCGTTTAGAGTTCCTCCTGCTCCATTGGGGATGTTGACTGTGTGACTATGTTGTTCAACTTCTGATTAGCTGTTCACGGTTGAATTGACTTGCAACACCAAAACATGTATTGGGTCATATTGGGTCTCTAGGGTGTGCAAAAAATGTGAAAGAAGAGGAAAGAAAACGTCTCCACTACCACAAAGAAAGCCATTTAGAAAGATCGGGAAGACACTGCCAGTGGAGGCAAAGAACAGCGTGAGTGCTCAAGCGCTGCAGCTGGAGCTCTTCGGCTGCAGTTGGGTCAGTGAAGGGCCAGTTCTTGAGAGAAAGAAAGAACGCTTTTTTGTTTGGTATGTACATGTATGTACTACATCAATATTGTATTATATATTATATTATACACAATATATACACATAGAGATAGATGCGGATATTAATAGTATGTATAAGAAAATATCCAGTTCTCAGCTAAAGCCAAATTGTCCAATTCTTGGGTTTGACCAGAAAAAGCCTTGTCCTGAGACGTATAGTCGGATATCCAGCGGTTGGCGAGATGATTCTTGTGGTGGTTCTGCTTGGGCCAAGGGGGCTGGTTGTCCCTTTTGAGCTATCAGCCAGTTTGGCGCGGTTTTGGTCTAGTACTGTAGCAGTAGCTACTACTATGGCTACTATGGCTCGTTATAAGCATCCTCCAGCGTATAGGACATGCACAGTTTGTTCTAGGACAGACTCTGTGGTTCCTCCAGTTAGGACAGCAGTTGCCAGCTTGTTGATTTCTTGCGATGCGACTGGTAACGACTGCTCAGTACTCCACTGAGGCCGCCACGAGTGATGTGAAGGTGGCCATGTATGATCATGTGATGAACACATTTAACATATGGTTGGAGTTTGGCCGTCGACAGCGTGTGACGGTTATGTGTCAACTTCTTTTGGTGCAGTGCCGCAAGACTGCATTGTTTGGGCTCTAGCCATCGGGCTGTGAAAAAAGCTCTTGGCGAAGTCGCCCCCCATGATTGGCTGTTTAGTCCAGGCTCAACACCCACGTGGCCCACGCCCCGCATTTGGAGAGTTTCTTCGGAAAGTTCAAGTCGAATTGAGGATCAGGGCGATAGACTGCAGGGACCGCGGTGGTCAGGATCCAGGTGCATGCCACTGGCATTATCCCTGAAGCCAACAGCACATTCTTGGGAATTGGGCAGGGGAGAGCAAATCACATTTGCCAGGTAGGTTTTGTGGGCCTTCGCCTTTTCAAGTAGGCAAGTACTCGTCTCACTCACACGACAGAAGTGATAGCGACCGTGAAGACCATCAATTACTTCATTCAGTGATTACAGTTCTTGTTCCTTTCAAATCCTTTCAACTTATTGCTGGATCCCCTTTGTTTGGAGGGTTTCTTGGCATCCTGTCAAAGATCCTGCCACCTGCCACGGTGCCTTTTTATTTGAAGAGAACAGTCACTTCCTTAGACTGTCCTTGGGCACTGCCGGGTTTACCGCCAGGGTTTCAGGGTTCCAATAAGATCCAATAAAGCCAGAGTCACAAGGCAACAGTGAAAGTCTTACGTGAGAGTCACAAACAGGTTCCAGGCTACCCGATGGACACAACTGGGTTCGAGACTACAGCTTTGCGTGCACGGAACTCATGTTCCGGCAGAACACCTGCACATGAGTTCCGTTTGCAATATCCTCAACGAGTCTTGCTGTTGTCTTTGGTATGGACGAATGCTTCGAAAGTTTGACACACATGCGATGTTTGTACGGTTGACCGTTGGACCACAAGACTGTAATGGTGCTATCATGGTTTTCCATGTTGCTTCGGTTCATTGCTGCATTCCACAGCAAAGAGTAGGCAATGATTATTAGGCAATGTAGATCCGGATTTGAGCGGTCCACAAACATCCGACCTTTTCAGATTGATCTCACTTTAGCCCAGGTTCCTGGTGCGGGTGCAAGCCACATGTCAACCAGAGATCGCAGAGTACGAGCTTCCAAGTCCCCTGGCAGAGCTTCCAGCAAGCTTTCAGCCTGAGGAGCTTCCAGAGGATGATATGATTGGAGAGCAAGAGGCCTATACAGAGGAGCTTGGATGTTGGTTCACTCTAGGAGATGACACGCTTTGGTTGGAAATACTTCTTAGTGACCGTGACCTTTGTTTTCTATCAGACAAGGTGAACAGTGAGAGGATGTGAGAGGGTCTCTCTCATGTGAGGTGGCCGTAATACACGTCTATACGTTCGCGTGTGGTTCATCGTGGTTCATCGTTTCGTCGCTTGTTGAGACATGTTGAGACTAGTGGCTTCTTGCTCCTAGTAGCGATGCCAGGAGCTACTACTAGTAGCATGGCACAGCGGTATGCCACCAGGAGAACGCGGTCGTGAACCATATGGACATTCAATCCGTCTTCGATCATCTTCCACTCCGTGACTCCTTCGGCTCTCGCACGGACTATGACATCTACGACCCGAACGAAAGTCCCATTGCAGTGAACCCGAACGGGCTGAGCCATGATCGTTACTTGGCTGAGCTTTTGGCAGCCTTGAAGGTCATGGAGCGGAATCATCAAGGACTGCAGAGGCTGGTGCGTCAACACCGTGGCCAGTGGTCCTTCTGTGGACTGAGAAGATGGCTCACCCCGGCAATGTAGCTCACGCCAGTCAGCTGGTAGCGAGTTTTTCCTGGCCAACTCAAGTTGTCAAGTTGGATCCTTTTTATGCCATGTCGAGGGTTTGTCCCTTAATTTTTTTGGGCATGGCTTTCAGTCATGATTGCAGATGAAGCGGATTGCATATCGATTTGCATTGCACCGGACAGTTTTTAATCGTTTGCTTGGACTCATTGAATGTGATTACTATTATAATCAATGACTATTTACTTGTTCAGGAGGTTCTTTTGTGCTATTTTGAGCGGTTGATGTTGATGCCAGTTGAATCCAGGCTGCTAATCCGGACCCTGATGCTTCAAGCAAACACCGTCGGGAGAGACGAGAAAGATAATCAGTGAGCCTCAGAATCTAATGCTATGAGAGCTGTTGGACATGTCCTTTTGTTCCACTCCGGGGTGTTTGGGTGTCCAAGGGTTTCCAGGTTTTGGCTACTATTAGTTTTCTTGTTGCGACCTGGGGCCAAGAAACAGCACACTGCGAGGCTACATACAAGGACTCCGATGGAAGTGGCAGACTAGAATTTCCTATGCCCTTAAGGGGCCTTCTTGCCACAAGATTTGGTGGTTGCTAGAGCATAACCTCCAAAGAGATTGGACATGTGAATTTCACTGATTTTATCGGAATGTATGGAAAGTTGAGCGTAGATGATATCGGACCGGTGGAACACCGTGGACTCTCTAGCACTTGATTTATCATGAGACTGTGGGAGAAGTTGGTGTACTCAGCTGGCCGCCACCATGGCATTGAGACGACGCCGTTTTGTCAAAGGATTTGGTCTGGTGTGGGTGAACAATTTCACGGAGTTGTGAGAAGTGGAAGCCCCTCAGTTTGCCACGGCCCAATCTCTACTCCAAGGTCTGAATCAAGAAACGGGCTCAGCATGACTGGGCACTGGATGTTCCGATGAATTCCATAGCGCACTCTTCAGCCTGTTGAACCACACCCTGCCGGGTGAGCCACCCTGGGACCCTCGTTGTCTTCACCTCCAAGGTCTCAATTCCGAGAAAGCCAGATGGAGCAGTTGCAAGCCGTCGACCAGGCATTCTGTGCCAGCGCCGGTTGCCGGTGCAAGGGAATGAGGACATAATTAGACCTTAGGATGGTAAATATCACTTGAAAGAAGTTGGCACGACAACCTTGATTGGATATTTCTGTGTGTTCTCCCGCTCTCCCTGAAGCCAACTCTTGGTGTGTCCCTTCTTTTGCGTCTTGCAAACAATGGTCATGGTCGGTCGTACCCAAAAAACACGGCTTGAGCGCCGGGCCGGATCTTGAAGTAAGGTGTATCCAGTGGAAGAAACATATTCGTTTGGCATGGGGTGATGCCATAAAATGCCATGCACATATTTGTCGAAGTTGTTGAGAAGTTGAGAAGCGCACCTTTTGGTACTTTGGTCATGTTTGACATTTCTTGGTGGTTCAATGTGATTCACTGAGTCTACTGAGTTTTTATTTCCATCCACAATCATCCACCTCCACCGTCTCCTTGGTTTTCTTGCCAAGGCACGAGGTGAGGCTGAAGCCTACCAGAGACGAGCGAAAATGGCAGAGGTGAGAGCAGACCGAGCAATCAAAGCGCGGACGTCGCGGACCTCTTTTTCTTAGGCGGAATTCTTGTGCACAGTAAGGGGTAGTTAGGTCAGGCATCCACGACCGAATTGTGGAAGCATTTTTGTAGCATAACTTGCTGGCAATAACATATTTTATAGAATATGTTTGTCTAGGTGTATTGTGTAGAACGACCTGTTCTTTTTTGACCTGCAGACTTTCTAAGATCCCATACTCAGTACCCCTTTTGGTGATCAAGATTAAGGAACCATTTGCAGCCTTATACCGTACGTCGGCACCCGAGATTTTTCACATTTTGCCGGTGTATGCACCCAATAATTCCGATGTCAAACTTCAGAACTGGCAGAACTACCATCCCCTTTAAGAAATAATGTTTTTTGATATTGTCAAGCTCACCTACACCGTTTCACTACACCAGAGTCAGGCACAGCTCCAAACAGCGCAAGCAGCTGTCGCAGCCCCAGCCAGTGAGGAAGTCCGCGGCACAGCCATCCCCACACATATTTCAGTTCTGGCCACGAAGAACACCACCTGGTCCTTGTCCTTGGTGACCTGGTGGCTTCCGATGAGCCTCCAAAACGGGCTGTTGAGCGTTTCTTGCTGTTGGGGAACCAAAATAGCACACACGATGTCCTTCCCTCAAACCCTGGAAGTGAAACATAGGCCCCTGGAAGACCGTTTTCCTCTACGGCGACTGCTGAGCTTCCACAATTGTTTGACCACGGGTCACCCTACCACCTCCGCTAGTTGGAAGGAGCAGATCTCATAGTTAAATCATGCTCAATCCTTGCTTCAAAAGTGTAGGCAAGCAAGGCAACAGGAAGAGCTTATTGATCAATTGTACATCTATTATTCATCCACATGGATCCAAAGTACCCAGACACTCCTACAGTGGCATTGCGGTGGTTTGAGGGGTCAATGTAGGTGTGTATATTATGCAATACATGGAGTGTCAGGGCTACACGTTAAAAAGGCAGAACATCCCCACTGCTCCAGGCCGAGCGCTTCTCCACCGAGTTCTATCAACTGGAGGCACTCCCGCGCCGCACCGGAAGCCCCTGTAAACGCTGGACGCATGGCACTGTGAACGCTGGATGAACTCGTGGGCCACCTGGGCCAGGCCAGGTTTGCAGAAGAGCAGCTGATCCGGAAGAAGTACCACAACCAGATTCAGGAGCCGGATTGCGAGGTGGTCAGCCATTGAAGGTCCCAAGAGTCCTGGAGTTTCAGACTGGAGTGGGTTCAGAGTATCCGGGAGTTTCTAGATGTATGTTTCTATTGGTGACTCTATACTCTATACAGGACTATTCAGCACAGTACCAACTTCTGTGGAACTTGAAGCACGGCCACCCACTGCCACGGTAGAGATCATTCGCAGAGATTTCAAGTCAAGCTCGTGCTTGCACAGTCGAGAGTTTTGAGTTTATAAAAAGAAAGGACGGTACTCGCAAGAATCAAACAGCCTTCATGATTGAATGATATTGGATGTAGGCGTTATGCGTTCTGTTATGCCTCCGATGCTTCACTTTTTTATCTTTCTGAAGTGGATACAAAGCAGGACATGAAGGGCAGTGTGCGGGTCTTCTGCCGTTTCCGGCCATTGGCAAAGCGCGAAGAAGACTTGGGTGATATCCCTGTGCTGCACAAGGCCTGGTCAAGCATTGTTTGTGGGTCATCATGGGTTCTGAGTGACCATTGTTTCAGGTATTTGATCCGAAACATTGCACTAAGCCACCAAGCAGCGCAGCTTAAATGGGTATGTCAAATACCTTGGACCTGCTTGCATATACAGTTGCATGGTAGCAGCGAAGAAAAGGGGGGATCTGTGAGGTACCTCAAATGTTTCTCTTCTTTCTCAGCCGTTGGGTCGCCACGAGGCCGACGCCTTCAGTGTGGACCTGCAGCGACTGGCGCCCCACAACGACACACGACGCTTCGATTTCGACGCAGACTGGAGCTTAGACTAAAGAGCCGTAGTTCACAGCCAGGTTTAAGCAGTGCTTTGGTCATTTAAACAGTTTAACGACATGTTTAACAACATGCACATGTTATCACCAAAGCTAGTGTCAACACTGGAGGGATGAAGGAGACCACTGGAGAGAACCACTTTGCATCACTTGGTGGACTCAGGTCTTTGGCGGTGACAGCCCACAAGAGGAGGTCTTCCGCGACTGCTCGCGTCTCAGCTGGCGGCATGTGGACGGATTCCCGCGTGGCGATTTCTGGTTTTGGATCGGATTTTCAAGGCGAAGACTTGGTGCAGTCCGTGGTCGATGGCTACAATGCCAGGAACCCAAGCAAACCCAGTTGTGGGATGAGAGCAGTAGAGTTGATTGACAAATACTCCAGCAAGACATCCGTTTGGACATGGAGAGTCAATGGTCCATGTTGGTCGATCCTCCACGTTCTCCTTAGCCAACCGACCCTTTTGGAAAGCCCCAAAACTTGTGGCAAATATATTATCTTGTTGGCATGGCACGTGAGATTTTTTGAAGGAGATGTTTCTTTACGCCTGAAGCCATATGTACCTGAAGCCGTATGTCAAGGTCACCATTTTTGCTTATGGGCAGACGGGTGCCGGCAAGCAGGGAGCCTGAGACCATTCTGTGTTGAAATGAACACGCTCCCCATGTAGGTCATTTGAATAATACAGAGTTGGTCGTTGCATCATTTGGTACGCCATGTTGCTGAATATGGTATGACAAGTCATTGTGTGCTTGCATCCTATCGAGATTGGTTGGGAAGAGGCGAATAAGCCGTCCAGTCAACGACCCAACCACTCAAGTTAGTTAGATGTATTCTTCCTTCTATATATTATAATGAATCACTTCCCCTGCCTCCCCCGGCCTTTTGTGACACTTACAGACTTGCTGTCTTTTGAATGTTCTGCTCCCGCGCCGGGCGGTGTAAATCTTCAGCTTGTTCGGTCAGCACTGGCAGCACTTTTCAATGACATCCACCTGTGGTTGTGTTTTACCATCAGATATCGATATGGGATTCAGCACTCCAGCGAGGTTCTGACTGTTGTTCTGTATTGTAAATTATCCTTCATTGTTGAGAATATATCATGGAATTTCGACTGATGCCATTTGATGTTCTATGCATTTTCGAGAGGCTTTGTTGACATAAGACCGGCAGGGTTTCATCAAGCATCCTAGTAGTATAGCTGTTGAACCTGGAGCTGAGTTGAATGTGTCGTGGGCAACCGGCCCTTACAAAGTCGCTTGTCACATTCCCATTCGAGTTGGGGGATTGGTGATTCCCCTTCAATGCAAGTCATCAGGTCATTCCGCTGTTCACTTCAACAGGGTCTGTGGGCTCCGTGTGACCAAGGGTGTGCAAGGTTCCCGCTTGTTTTGGATTCGATCCAGGACCCATACGATGTATGGGACCCATGATCATCCTGGCCTTGCACCACGCGTGGCACTCAGTGGGTGAAGAAACTTGATCAGATTTGGCTCCTGATTTGTAGGATTTGTTGCTTGTACTTTGAGGTGCACTAGAGCACGTGTTGAACATGACGCATGTGGGACCTCGTATATAATCATCCCTGTTAGATCAATATTCAGTTGCGAGAAAACTGCGCATCGCAACGCTGTCTTTGCAGGGCTGTCCACGTGTTCTGCATTATAAATAATTTGACACTGACGACATTCACTTGCGTTTTTCAAGTTTTGCTTTGGCGGGAAAGTAGGACGGAAGTTGTTGCCAAAGTCTTCCAGCTGGGCACACTAAGGTTCTATCGACTCCCTCTTTCATTTGATTCATCGAGAAGAGCGCCAAGGTACGGGAGACTGCCTTCATGAAAACCCGTCACACTCTGACACTTCAGTTCCAAGCTCATTGGATTGTTCCAGCAGGAATTCGCACTGGTATGCACTGATGGTGCAGAATACACTATATAAATCCAATGCTTTAAGATTGCATTATGATCGGCAATGGCCTGCCATGACCTGCCTTGCAGAATCACCTGCCAAAGAACAATTTATCTTGTTAAATCACATCAGGATAAAAAAGTGAATGGACCCAACTGACTGAGTACAACACAATACGCTTTGATACCAATACAACATTCGGTTGTGTTGAGCTATTAGTTTTAGTTGGAGGCCATCGCTAGTAGGCTGGAGGCCATTACTATTAGGTTGGAGGCTTGAGCTGACTCCAGCTACCTTTCCGGAATCCTCTCCCTCACCTTCCAACATTCGGCCTTCTTGCGTCAGGGCGCAAAAGCTTCACGGTGAAGGCATACATGATTGAGCAACTTGGATGGAGCAAGTGTAGTTAATTATGTAGCACTCCATGAAGAGGTTGTTCTATTTATTGTTCCACATACAACAGAGGTCTAAGCTCTGAGGAGCACCCCAAGGTGTTAGCACCAACTCAAGGTTTCTGCGAAGGTCTTCTTCTCCGCCAACAGCATGCAAAGCCAGGTGAAAATATATGACACCAGCAAGGATTTGACACGATCGCAACCGGTACATGAGAATTGGCAATGACAACTCACAGCACCACAATCATTAGTGACAAGACACAAACAATAGGGAACGGCCCTGGCAACAACAGAGATTGAACATTGAACTACCCGCGACGCACCCCCAATCCAATCCTGTGAGGAAATATGCGGTTCATGGGTTTGTACTCTCAATCACTCTTGGTTCATGGTTGCCCTTTGCAGGCAGAGCATCCACAATGAGCACCAAGCCTGGATCACTCATGGTTCTAGTGTGATCTGATGTCGTGGCTTCTAGTTGCTTAAGACAGAAGCATGCAGATCTCAAGATATGGTGAGTGTTGTAGACCCTGCATCTGACAGACATTGGAGCTTGCCCCGTGGCCACCCTTCGGACTGAGGCTCTACAAGCAAGAGATTTTGGTGTCAACCTCAATGTTTTTTTGGTTGATGGCCAGACGTGTGTTTCTATCAAGACAAGGAAGTCCGGTGTTTGCCAAGTATCGTACGGTTGTTGCAGTAACCTTGTTTTCAAGCACATGGATTGTCACGACACGGATCAAAAAATATTCAATTTCAGTTGATGCCCAATATGGTTTGACCAACTGCTGTCTGCATACACTAGAGCAGTACTAGTGTAAGACTTAAGACTTGCTCTTTGTGAATGAGACTTGCGCGGAAAAAAACCACCCCGCTCCTCTCCAATGAGAGTGGGGCGATCCCGGGCAAACCTGAGGACTTGTTGGTGGAGGCGAGACGAGAGAATTCGAAAGAGAAGCAGTTGCAGATCAAGAAGGCACGGATGCAGAGTTCATGTCACGAAAATACATTGACTGTTCAAGCACTTTGGGTACTGTATATGTTTGTAATGTTTTATGTGTTTGTTTAATCTTGGTTGACCCCACTTATTTGATCGTGTTGGACATCCATATGAGGGTTCAACCCCGCGTGCCTTTTCTCTCCATTGTCGTTGTTCATTGTATTCTATCTTTCAAGCTTAGTGATCGGGATGCACCAGCACTGCTTCACAGGATGCTGGCAGGGGCATCATGTTTGTGGAGGCCCCATATCTGTCGATAGGGCATGAGGGCCTTGGTTTGGTCAGGGCCTTGTTGTCAGAGTGCTTAGACTAAACAGGAGGGGAGTTGTTGGTTTATAGTTCATGATGCTCTTTGATGCTTGAAAGAATTCATAAGGTTACTCACCCGCTTGAAACCAAAGCAGAATAGAATCGTTCCAGAGCACAGGGTCCGAGCATTGGTCGTTTGTTTCGATATGATCAGATGATGTTTGGTGCACATCGCGAAGGGAGTCTGGAGGAATGTGAGTCATAATAGTAGTCGATAGTAGTCATAGTATTAACAGTACAGTAGTTACATGTGGCCATTGAATTCCGACGGCACCCACCCCTCACGTCGGCGAGTTGCCAGGGCGTTTGTGAGCGTCAGATCCACGGCCCAGACGAGCTCAAGGTCAGGGACGTTCACAGCCAGTGGATCTGACGATGAGCACAGGGATGCCTGACAGAGGCTGTTTGAGATTGTTCCAGGAGTTTCTTCGCTTGGGGGGGCCCAACAGATTGTATCTCAAATTCATTCAATTTTTCTTTACCTCCGCCCATGTATGTCGCTTCGAGGCAGTGCTTGCGGAAGGTGAGAGGCGGCGGCATGTCGGAACCTCAGGTGTCGCACTCCATAGGACCATTTGATGTTCCTTAAATAGAAAATTCTTAATTTATAGAGTATAACTAGTATTATACATTCTTGCTGTTTCGGGAATCCACTTGTCCTGCTCTTCGTCCTTCAATCATCCGACTCTGAATCCTTTCTTCTCTCCTTCCAGTGCAATCGCTTCTGAATACAAACATGGAGTCGGGGTTTTAGTGGTGCTTATTATCAATCGGCATTGCTCCTGCAGGCACCCGTAGTTAAAGGTGAGGAAGTTCGTGAACTGCATTCATTCAATGCCTTGCCGAGACCGCAGCAACCGCGATGAACACCAGTAGCAGCCGCTCCCATTTGCTGTGTGGATCTTAGGGCTTGTGGGAAGGCATCATATTACCATGTTGATATCATATTGCATCCATGCAATCCTGGAAGGCTTCTTCAGATGGGTTATGATTAGTTTGTCTTTTAATGGGGGGACCCCCCGACCAAAGGGGTTTTGGACCCATATTCCTCTTCGGGGGTATCCTAGTACAAACAGTACATATAGATTATCTTTAGAAGATACTCCGGCCAACTCTCCAGCCTCTAAAGGTGACTATGTGGAAAGGGCCGATTTTAAGTGTGATTGTAAGAGACGACCCCTTAACTATGTCTTCCTTGTTCATTGTGTTTTGGCTGACACGTATGATTTCCACTTAGCATTAAGTCTTGTAGGCCTTGCACTCTGATAGGCATCCAACAGCAGTGTAGAGATTGTAGAAGTCTTGATTTGAATATATAGTAAGAACTTACTGTAAGAACGCTTGTGTTTCACTGCTCAAACCTTGAGGATGTGTTGCGTTTATGTGCTATGTTGCTTTGGGACGCTCAATTCAATTGGATCAGGGTGGCAATCGGCCAATAAATGTCCATGAACATTAGACATATCATGACCACCGCTTTTGCATCTAATGGTTGTTGTTTTTAATGCATTTAACATCACGCCAACACCACATCAAACCCCAAAAATACAGTGTTAAGTCCTTGTGTTCTGAACTGTGGGCCTTAACTTCATGTTTCGTCCTGAGCAAGAGATCTTTGCTGCTCTCCATCTCCCTCCAATTGCTTGAGTTCTTCCATCAACCGTTGGTATTTCGGGCAACTCGTGACCCTTCCCGGAAAAAGACATCCTCATGGAAGCTTCGCAGATTGCAAGAGGAAAACGGCGGGACTGACTGAGGGGGAGAGAAATCGCTGACGGTACGAGGGGCGCTTGTCAGTCCAGGCTCAGCATCATTGTGGAAGCCACCGCCAAGGACAACGACCAGGTGGCGGTTTTGCAGTGGGCACATGTGGGCACCGCTGGACCTTATGTGGATATGCATCAAAGTCACCCTTGCTTCTTTCTGTTTGTTTTGTCCTTTATTTATGTCTTTATGTATTTATGTTTGTTACTTATTTACAGTATGTATTTACGTCTTTTGTTATTTACAGATCTGACCTAGCCATCTCAAGCCCCGCCCCATGGGTCTAAGTCATTCAAGATTCAAAGCCATTCACAACCTCTCGGATCTTTTTCCGGTTCTGAACCATGACCCAAGATTGCTAAGGTGCTCTCTGTTGGGGGTGAGAGCAAAAGAGACATGACACTACAGTATGCATCCTATTACCTTGTGGTTTTGTCCTTGGAGCGCACCGGTAGGAGGTGTGGAATGGTAGGACCTAGATCCACGTAGGTCCACGTACTCATGTTCACTCGTGAAATGCCTCATGGCAGTGTTTTTTTGCACCAACGCGATTGGCTGCAGACGATGTTTGTTCCCTTTAACTGCAGTAGTACCTAGGCGACAAGAAAGGATCGGATGTTCGGTTGGTTGATGTTGTTCAGTTTGAATATCTCCTCCAAGAAAGCACAACCCTCTACACAGGGTCATGAGTCACAACCTAAGAACAACCTTCTTCGATCGTCTCCCACTCTCGCCACGCATCTCGCCACGCCTCCAACCTAAGAGCGATGGCCTCCAACCTAAGGGCCATGGCCTAGTAGCGATGGCCTCCACCCTAGTAGCGATGGCCTCCAACCTACTAGTTACTACTGTAGCGATCTGCCACTCTCCCACTCTTTGAGGTCATCTATGGGAAGATCACCCTTTGTGACCTCGCCGGCTCCGAACGGCTGAAGAAGAGCGAAGTGAGTCGCTTGGCTGGGCGATGAAGTGAATCCCCAGTCACCGTGAAAGTGAGTGGAGAGACTTCCAGACAGTTCCTGTTTGTCGGAGGAACTCCTTGGTTGAGAGTTTCACAAAACACTTGTGAAGGAAAGTAACCTTTTCTGGGTGTCCTGGCCTCACTCTCCATGTCCTCCACGCGTTTGTCCGTGGTTCCACGCGTCTCCGAGCGTAAGGCACACCCTTAGGGCGCCCCCAAAATGATTCAGATGCCCCGCTTGGGCTTGTTGGTCGAGTGCATGAAACGCCTGACCAAGCGGAGGAGAAACAAAGGGCACCAGAAAAGAACGCACGGAACAGAAGGCATCGTTGACAAAGATCCATTCGTGGATCCAGCGCCTGCATGGGACAGTCCAGGTCAAGCCCAAAGCCAGTGTTGATTTGGGACATTGTCAAAGAGAAGGTCAACAGATGTTGGAAGACGTTGGTAAATTGGGTCACAGGGGCAGGAGAGTTACAGTAGCAGAAGAGATCGATGATAATTGGAGGGTATGAGAGATGAGGAAGAAAAGCGAAGGATCGTGGTACCCTAGCTGCACCTCATTGAGGCGGTGATGCTTTGAAAGAAGCCATCGAGATCAACAAGAGCTCCTTGGCGTAACCACTCTATTGTATAGATTATAATAGATTATAGATATCCAGATATTTTCCTGAGAATGCTTGCCCTCAATAATGTCACAAATGGACAACTGCCCCGCAGGGTAAGTGTGCAAATCAACCTCAGCCAAGTGTAAATCGTTATTTCTACCATTAGGGTGCAGCATAAACAGATAATCTGTTCTGCACCATCGTGGAAAAAAGACCTCTGCCCGAGGTACAACAGAGGGAGGTTTGAATGGTGTGGCAAGTCATGACAAGGTCTTCCATACTAGCAATACGACTTGGCAGTCCAAGTGAATCAGGAGAAGTATATATAATATAGATGTATATAGTAGATGAAATACTCACACAAAGAGCTTGACCAGAAACTACAAGGTGTTTTGTTCCAAGAATTTGTGGCCAAGGAAACGGCAGTTGTGCCTTCTTCATTTATGTCCTTGAGCTCATTGAATATTTCCTCCATCCAACACCAAACAGTGCTTACATGCTAATCCGATCTCCAAAGACATCAGTCTGACCACACGCACAAACCATTACAACATCCACTAGTACAGCCTGGTCTCGGTCTCCTCGTACACCAGTCTCCTCGCCCAGAATGGCGTGTTGGGCAGCCGGTGTTTTTGCGAGGCCTCACGGCCTTGGGTGACGTCATCGAGGCGTTGTCTAAGGGCAGTAAGAATGTGCCCTATCGCAATCACAAGCTCACCATGCTCATGCAGGCAGGTGGTTGGGCGGCTGGGGCGTTCCGTTTTGGCTGTTGTTTTTGCTTTGATGGTGGAATCTGGTGTGGGAGTAAGGTGGAGTGATTGTTCAAGGTGGATTGGTAGAGTTCTATGGAGGTATCCATCTCAGTGGCCTGGGCGTCAGGACAGCCTCGGCGGATCTGCCAAGACCTTGATGTTCGTGAATTGCTCCCCGGCCAGCTCAAATGCGGAGGACTCTTCTCATGTGATTTACGTTGCATTCAGGGCTGAAGTTGGGGAGCTTGTTGATGTTGTGACCGAATCTACGACTTGCGTGGTTCACATGTTGAGACCTTTGAGAAGGAATGGAAGCTACAAACCTCCTTTCGAGAAAGGTGTGTTTTAAACAAAATGCAACACGTTTGCCTCAGTGGGTTTGGTTTCTCTCAATTGATGAGCTCATGTTGCTGTTTTTCCAGCACGTTTGTGAAACTGTGCAGCATGTACCATTGTTTTTCCACCGGGCTAGGAGACCTTGACCTCACTGAAGTGGGCCACACGTGCAAAGCAGGTGACTAATGACGTGAAGAGGAGCAAGCGGGGAAGTTCCGTGGGGGGGCAGAAAGAATCATCATATATATATATATATGCACCTGGATCCAACATCAAAACACGAATGGTTGGATGAGCCGGTCCTCGTGGGTAAGTAGAAGACAAAGGTGATTCACAAGTTACACCAGGTTACATGTTTGTGTTTAGGAGTGGTAGAGGAAGCCTAAAGCCTCAAACTTCAGGGTGTGACCTGTCACTTGGATCTTTTTGGATCGCTGAGTGGATCCCTTTGGGTTTGGTCAGCTACATCTGACCTCTCAGGACCAATCAAGACAGCTTCCTGCTTCCCGAATTCCCTTTGCGATAGATCAAGAGGGCCAATCGAGAAGTCCCATGTTGCCCAAATGTCCATGTGTACTTTGAGCTCTCTTCAGGCTTGAGATTTGGGACTTCCCGCTCAAGGTGAGTAGTGGGCACCTCGAGCACCTGCTATGGTGTTGTGAAAGTTCATAGATATGGTTCCAGAACTCGTGGATGAATTGCTTTTGGATTAGGTGCATCGTCGCCACCTTTGGCTTTGATCAGAAGCGTTCTTCAACATTTGGGCGAAGATCGTTTTTGAGAGACTATGAAATATGGTCCGCACCAAGTAAAATTTTTGTATGCCCCATGAGCGTCGTGTTGGAGGAATGCAGATTGCAAGGAGGTGGCGCGATTGAAGCAGGCAACCGGGCTGAGTAGTGCCAAGTCGCCCATAAACAGCACGGTGCTAGGCTGGTTAAGGGGTCCAGCAGAACATGCTTGCGAAGTGATGTAGTGACCGAAAAGGAGTCTTACGCAGTCCGAAACGTTTCGTTCGTGTCCCTTTTGAATAGGCGAGCATGCATGGATATGCGGATGTCTGTGGGTCTCCCGCTTTTGAGAAACAGAATGATTGATGTCCACTCGTCCAGGTGATTGCCATGATGAGCCAGGCTCAAAGTGCTGAGGACCGCGAGAGCTGAAAGCATCAGTGTCCGTCAATGAAGTCAAAGAAACAGCCGGATTTCTAGAGGGCCATTCTCTTCCAGGTTCGTTTTGTTCAGGTTTTTGTGCTTTTGTTTTCATGGTGCTATAGGGCCCCAAGACCGTTTTGGTCATGAATTCTACATAATTCCACCCATGCCCCTCCTCCAATTGTCTGCCATAAATGCTCTGGAAGTAACCCATAGTCTTCTTCCAAGCCTGCAAGTCTTTGGACATTTGATTTCACCTCCAAAGACGGTCAACAACAAGGAGCCACTGCGGAGAGAAGCCCCAGGCGGCATTGCTTCCTAAGATAGCTCGTTTTTGTTTTATAATTGCCATGACGCTAGCGACAGGAAACCATGTTTGATATGCATCTCATAGATGCGCGACCCTGGTCAGAACACAGACAGCGAAGTTGTCTCCTATTACAGGAAAGGGTTTTGTTGTGGGTGTGTACATTCCATGTCTATGTTGATGACCAGTGGTGCACCACTTGCTTCCTAATTCAGGAAGTTTGCTTGCACAAACGTGCGAGCGCCATCCAGTGTGGTTCTCCACTCTTGTACATGGATTTGGTTCGGCGTTCGACCAAATGAAATATGGATTCAATATGAATTCATATTCTGAATAAATGAATCTTCAATATCTATCAAAAAAAAAATATCAATTTATATCAATATAGAAAAACTATATATATCCAAATATATAAAACATGTTTAAATGTAATATAATATTTGAATATATTTAATATTATATTATGAAAGGTAATCGATAGGCAAGATTTGAGGTTGATGGAACGAACGAAATAAATTTAAGGAGATATGGGGGAAAATGATTGTGCGTAGGTTGATATCGCAAAGGTAATGTAGAATTTGGTGGGAGAGAACGAAAAAAATGGTGGTTCGTAGGTAATGAATAATGGGTTGTTTTAGGGATATTATAGGAGGTTATATGGAAAAAAATAATTTAGGAATGGAATTTTATATGGATGAAATTGAAAGGATATGACAATTAAAGAAATATATAGAAAATAATGGAATCTATTTTATATTGGATAATAGGAAAGAAATAATTTGTAATTGTTGGCAAATTTAATATTGTTTGGGATTGGTGTTTTTTAATTGTCGGATTGATGAGGATATATTTTATGCGATAGGAATTTATGGAGACGGAAGAATTGGAATTATATTATGATGAATTTTTCGATATCTTTTTTATATTTTTTTTTATGGATCTATATTATATAATAAATATTATTTGTATATTTTTTTCGAGGATATTTTTATTTATTTCTAAAATGAATTCGAATTATGATAATTTTTTTTGAATTTATATATAATATTTATTATTTCTATATATTTTAAATATTTTTGATATTAATTCTACTAGCTAAAATATGTTATCTGATGGTAATTGATTTTTTACTTCGATATTTTTATATATATATTGTTATTTCTAATATTTTATTTATATATATAATCCTCCGTAATAATTATAGTTATTTTTATGTATTTCTAATTTCTAAAAAGAATGATTGGGGTATTAATGTCGTTATATTTAATATATTGTTTTATATATTATTTATTTATTTATATATTTTTTTTTTTTCCCGAATAATTGTGTCTTTTAATTCCTTATACTTATCTTTATTCATTAATTGATATTTTATTATATAGCAAATTATTATCTTTCATTTTCTTCTCGGGCGCCCTTTTTCACCTCCAAAATAAATCCGAATCACGACGAAAACAGGCACCTCGCCCCGAACCTGAATATTATACTTTTCATTTCTATTTCCTATAAGAATGATTTATGATATCACTTTCACCATTTCCGGCTATTCTTTTTCCATTCTACCTTCTCACACACTTCTGACTTAAAACGAAAACAAACGGCCCTGCCTGCATTTTGTCCCCTCCTTTCTCAAATATATATGTTGTTATATAATATTATATATTAAATAATTAAAATATATTTATATTCAAAAATAGATACATATGTTATATAGTGTTTTAATGTAGTTAATATTATATATATATTATTATCATTAATTGAAATATTATGAAAAGATGTATTGATAATCGTATGTAAAATTCGATTAAGGTAATAAATTTAATATATTATTAATTATTTCAATTGATATATGTTTATCGTTTTTCTTTTTGATGGTTTTAGAATTGATTCTTGATTTAATAGGAATGAAAAGGATTTAATTTGTTAATTGATATTTATTGTATATAATTTATTTTGTTTTATATATATATAATTCGAGATAAATAAATAGTTGTTTGATTTCTTTTAATTTAGTGGAAATATATATAATGTAAAAATATTGATTATTTGATGTTTTTAGTTTATTTCTATTGATATTGTATTATTTTTTAAAATTGAAATATTGATGATATTGTTAATTTATTCTAATCAATCGATTAATTTCTATTATATTTCTTCATATTTCCACAATATTCCCGCAATTTCCAGAAAATCCCAGATCTGCGGCAAGCTGATGTGCAGATTTCGAGGCAGACGCAGCACTTTGTGAACCTTCATGTGCAGATCTCGTGGCAGGCACAGCACTTTGAGAACCTCCATGTGCATTGTATGCGGCGCTTGCTGCTTGCCCAGGGGTCGGATGTACGCCCTGGCGTCGGTTGGGCACCGGCGCTCTGCCGGTAACATTTGCGTGCTGTGTGCGGCGCTTGCTGCTTGCCAAGGGGTCAGATGTACGCCCTGGCGTCGGCTGGGCACCGGCGCTGGATGTGCAGATTTCGTGGCAGGTGCAGCACTTTGTGAACCTTCATGTGCAGATTTCGTGGCAGGCACAGCACTTTGTGAACCTCCATGCGCACTGTGTGCGGCGCTTGCTACTTGCCAAGGGGTCGGATGTACGCCCTGGCGTCGGCTGGGCACCGGCGCTCTGCCGGCAATATTTGCGTGCTGTGCGCGGCGCTTGCTGCTTGCCAAGGGGTCGGATGTACGCCCTGGCGTCGGCTGGGTACCGGCGCTTGATGTGTAGATTTCGTGGCAGGCACAGCACTTTGTGAACCTCCATGTGCACTGTGTGCGGCGCTTGGTGCTTGCCGAGGGGTCAGATGTACGCCCTGGCGTCGGCTGGGCACCGGCGCTTGATGTGCAGATTTCGTGGCAGGCGCAGCGCTTCGTGAACCTTCATGTGCAGATTTTGTGGTAGGCACAGCACTTCGTGATTTCTGTGGAGCTGGAAGCTGAGAACTGGCGACGTTGTAGTACAACTTTAGTATGCGGAGCAATCTGGGGAGCTGGAAGCTGAGAATTGGCGACTTTATAGTACAACTTTAGTATGCTCTGGGGAGCTGGAAGCTGAGAATTGGCGACTTTGTAGTGCTTCTTTAGTACAAGCGCCAAGCAGCATACATCCACCCGCACACTGATACACACTGACGAACAAGCACAGACACACAAATACACACTTCACGTACATACAGAGACCCTCACGCCTTATATCTGTCTCGCCTGTCTCTTCCCCATGCTCACTCTTCCGCACTTTTCCCCTGCAGCCTCAATCTTTCGAAGTTGTTCACATATGGGGTTATCCGGTCCTATAATTTCTTTTTCATTTATATCGATATATAAATTAAAAATTTGAATATGGTGTTATTGCAAGGCATCATTGCACAAAATAATTATCAAATATCTATGATAAAGAGGAATATTCTAAGGTATTCGTGTAGAATGCCGTTCCAGGATCTATGAATATAATTCTTGGGAAATTGATTATTATAAAAATTCTTGCGAATATCGATCTCTTTTTTTAGGAAGAGCGACGGATAGGGTCAACGACCGGGCACCTGATTGCCGATCTGCCATCGTCTGTCATCCAGGAATTGCCCTAGCTAAGAAACAGGCATTGGCAATGACCGCTGTCTGGATCTTATTCGAAGTGACACAGGGTGGCCACTATTCGGTACTGTGTTCAGCTGACATCCCGGCTAGTGCTATTGTTGAAGATCGGAATATGGACCTCAGAACGGGAGAAGTCCACGGGTGTGTTTTGCTTCAAGGCAAGGGCAGGAAATCGTTCGAATTGCAATATTATGCATGGATGGGCATGAATGCAGGCATTTGTGCATGGATCCTGGCCATGCCACATGTTGATCAAAACTTGCAGGTCGCCTCTCTTTTCAGCCGGCATGCGAAGGAGCAGGGATGCAAAAAACACCACGATCTTCAATGCTATTGGCTAGTCGAGACTGCCAACCATGGTATTCCTGCCCCCAGGAATGGCCACTGAGTTGTTGACCCCTGAGCCAGCCCAAAAATTCCGCTGCATCCTGTTGTTCATCGGGCGCGTGTTCTCTGAAGCAGGATTGCAGCAACGTCCGGAATGGAATTGAAGCACATAGATCCACACCACCTGAGGTATTGAGCAATTCAAATAGAGGGAGCCTCCATTGACCCCAAAGCTCTGGATCAAACCCCTCGTAGGCCAAAGTGGCCTAGATTTGCCCCAACAATGCTGCATTGATATAGCAGGCATTGGATGAATTGGGTAGCTTGACTCGAAGGAGCTGATGTATCAGCGTCGCACACGGTGGACGATTGCTATAGCAAGTGGAGATCTTTGCAGGCCTGTTGGCCTCAATCGAAGAAGGATCAATTGATAGATCCCGTTTCCGCTCAGGAGGTTGAGGATCTCGTAGAGCTGCGTCGATGCGGCGCTGCAGAGGCTGAGATCGAGGCGCCACGGGATCGTCACACTGGGAGTCTTCGGGGACCTGATCTCTGTTCATGGGCTTGAGGGCAGAGAAATGTTGGATCAGGTCTCCCTGACTTGCCAGTTGGGAGAGTTGAATGGTGATCTCCTGAATCCTGTCGTGCTGCAGTGGCTGTTGTTTCGTAGGTCGAAGGCATTTGGCTGCTGAATCCCAGGAGAGATAGTTCCAGGCAATGCTTGGACCAGGGGATCGTCCTGGTTGTCGTATTTCAATTTCGTCAGCCGTTGGATCATCACCTCGACCACTTTGAGGAAATTGACCTGACGGAGGGAGCATGTGACTCCAGTGATTTGTCTCTGATGACGCCATTCCTTGGTTGCCAGGATCATTTCCGGTAGGATCGAGCCTTTGCCGGCCTGTAAAAACAGAAGGAAATTGCGGTCCAAGGCCATTTGATTGAGCATATCTTCTTGGAGCAAGGTTAATTTGGCCAGCATCATCAGGAGCTCTGAATCCCCTTCGTGCTTCGAAGAGGTGGTTGAGGAGTCTGATCGGTTTTTCGATCTGCCTTTCCCAGCTGCTTTGCCCTGCGATGATTCCACCTCTATTCGCGGG